ACATTCATATTATTAAATTTAAGGTTCTATACGTGGTCTCCTCGACACTTTAAAAATTTTTTTAGAGGTAAATAATGGCAGAAATGTGACTAAGAAAAGAATGTGTAAAGAATAATAATTAAAAAAAAAAAAAAATTAGGTTAAAACCAAGCATTAAACAGCATGGTATAGCTATCTGCTTATACAACCCAGTCCCCTGCTTCAAAAAAACTTGTTTGATTCTAGATGGTGTTAGCATAAGTACAATATTAAGAATGAAAAAGATGATTGTCACTGACTAAGTTAACAATTTTCATTCATTATTCAAATGAAATCACTTGGATTAGCCCAAGTGTACTGCATTTTAGGAGGGCAATAGACAAGACAAGTACCTGGGTGGTACAAACGGTTTACACCAGGCTACTGACAGAAAGGTTGACAGTTTGAATCCACCCAGCAGTACCATGGAAAAAAGGTCTGGCAATCTACTTCCTTAAAATTATAACCATTGAAAACCCTATGGAACCATTCTACTCTGATACAGTTGGGGTTGCCATAAGCCAGAATTGACTCAATGGCAATGTTTCTGTTTTTGTTTTTTCAATTGACAAACAATCTAAAATATATTCAGAAGAGAATGACTAGCTTGGAGAAAGAGTGGAAACTTGAGAGTTGTGTCATTTGAGGAATAATTTAAGGACTTGAAGACATACACTTAAGAGAGGAGGGGATATTTAGTTAGAAAAGGAAAAAGCTCAGGGTAGGCATAATAGCTGCTTTTAAAGAGTTAAAGTTATATTAAGTGGAAGAGATTTGCTTTTTTTAAAATATACTTTAAACAGATAGATTTTTGAGTAAAAGTTTCTGGGTGACTAATTGTGATTCAGAATTCAAAGTTTAAAGATTAGCTGGCCTGTCTGGGAAACACTTACTCTGTCTTTTCTGGAAGTATTCAAGTTTATCTGAAATTATCAGTTATTAGAAACACTGTAGAAGGGACTCAGACCTCAGTTAAGCAGTAGGATAAGGCTTTCCATTGCCAAGTGTGTGCAACCCTCCAAGACCACTGACTGTTACCCTCTCTTTGTAGACCTACCAGGGCTCAGACATTGACATCTTTACATTTGGAAACCCTCTGAACACAGCTGCTCTTTTCATCATTCTGCTCCATCTGGTCATTGAAAGCAAGAGTTTGGTAAGTGGTTTTCCTACCGCTGAGGTAGCCTGAAAGTCTTTGTTTGAGGGATTGTCTTCTATTAGCAGTGACCCTGGTAAGCCCTTCATGGCTAGAAGACGGGCAGTAATGAGAAGAATAATGACTCAGTGGAAGAAGCGTGACACAGCTGCTCTTGTTGATAGTTGAGTGCCATTATGCTGAGCTTGATGTGTGGCCAGGGAAATTAGGAAACACCTGCCAGGTCCCCATGGTGGTACCATGGCTGATGGTTCATGGAGGTGTGAGTCAGGCTGTGGAAATAGCCATCCTGCTATGGTCAGCATTCTTTACAAGCAAGCTGATGCCTTTCAACTGACATAAAAAGAGGTGGCGTGCCATAGTCTTGTTTCACTGGCTTTAGTAAGTGATGATTTTTCTGCCTTTCTCAACATATAAAAAAAGTATCTCTTTCTCCCTTCAGAAATTCTACTTGTCATTTAAATGAGGTCTTTTTAAACTTAGTTGTTGACTTTGTGATAAAACCTAAGTCTTTCAGTCCAAATGATTGCATGGTATTTTATTGCTGCAAATCCAATATGTAGGACTCAGATGGTGAGCTTTACTGTCAGTTCCCCTTTGTTGATGTACAACATCCCACCTATGACTGGAGAAGAAACTACCTCCTTTGTGATTATTTAGGACACTTCTTTCCATTGCTGTTGCCTCTGCTGTAACCTAAGCCACTGTCATCACTTCCTGGACTACTGCTGTAGCCTCATAACTTTATATTCTCACTTCTACCCCTGAC